TTCTCAAAGGACATGGCGTCTGCCAAAATCAGTCTTATCTGAGCAAGTGCTAGCCCCACCCACCCGCCCCTATTTTCTTAGAGGATATGTCATTTGCCAAAATAAGACTTATCTTAGCAAGTACTACCCTCTGAGAAAATAAAGGGCGGGTGGGCGGGGTTAGTACTTGCTATCATAAGTCTTCTTTTGGCAAATGACATATCGTCTGAGAAAACAGGGGGCGGGTGCGGGGGGCTAGTACTTGGTAAGATAAGACTTATTTCAGCAAATGACATATCCGCTGGGAAAATAAGAGGCGGGTGGGCGGGCCTAGTATTTGTTGAGATAAAACTGATTTAACGAGTTAAATTCCTAAGTTTACCCGAAATGTGCAAAATATGATGAGTTTTTACTTGTGATTTAACATTGCATTCATATTTTTTAGATGTGTTTATACCGGTGGCTCAAAAAAATTAATAACTGAGTCAATTTATTTTATTGATTAAATCAGGAACGGCAAAACCGAATGCTTTGAAATCTTGGAGATGTTTTACAGTTATATGTATTATAAGTATGGTAAATTTTTAATCAAAATGTATTTGCTCATCCCCCCTAAAAAATTGATGACGTCACCCCAAAATTTTGCCGTATACATCCTATCTAGAGGACGGGGTGGTCAACACGGAGAACATCGTCAACGAAGAAATCCTCCAGGTTAGTCGAATTTTTTTGCCAAATTTGATTTAGTTTCATTTTTTCTGTTTGTTCATTCACACATTTCGTTCCTTCTTCTTTCCATTTTTCGTTCATTCTCCTATTTTTATTGTGTTTGTTCGTTGTCAGATTCGTGATGAAAGAAGATTTTTTCAGAATTCAGAAAAAACACCTTTTAAATGTGAAAATGGCTGTAAACTATAGCCTGAACGGTGTCCCCGAGATCCTTAAAGCTACTTCAAAAACCAGCTACAAAGGGTCCCCGAGATTCTTTCAAACTACTTGAAAAACCAGACATAAAGAGTCCCCGAGATTCTTTCAACCTACTTCAAAAACCAGATACAAAGGGACCCCGACATTTTTTCAAACTACTTCAGAAACAAAATACAAGTGGTCCCCGAGATTCTTTCAAACTACTTCAAAAACCAGACACAAGGGGATCCCGACATTTTTTGAAACTACTTCAAAAACAAAATACAAATGGTCCCCGAGATTCTTTCAAATTACTGCAAAAATAAAACAAAAGATGTCCCCAAAATCCTTCGAACTATACTTCAAAAACCAGATACAACGGGTCCGCGAAATTCTTTCAAACTAGATACTTCAAAAACAAAACACAGTGGGTCCCCGAGATTCCTTCAAACTACTTCAAAAACCAGATACAATTGGTCCTCCAGATTCTTTTAAAGCACTTTAAACACAAAACACCAGGGGTCCCTGAGATTCTTTCCAACTACTTCAAAAACCAGACAACTGGTCCGCAAGATTGTTTCGAACTAGAGTTACTGGATAAGATCTTATCTATTACCTAGTAACTCTTTTTCAAACTATTTCAAAAACAAAACACATACGGGAATTTTCCAGAAGCGCCATAGCTGTGGCGTCCGAATCCAAATTTTATATACTTTTAAATGATGCATTGAGACACACTGTATGTAATAAAACCATCCTTTTTTATGCGTTGAACAAAAAAAAAACAAATACTTTACAAATGGATACTCAAATAAATAATTTTGCGAAAAATTTTAACTTTCCAGTTCAAAATAAACATAAAACTGCGCATAGTAAAGATTTTTGAGCATCAAATTCAAAATGGATGAAAAAATAGCAAAAAAGTTTGTCCGAAAACGAAAAATCAATTGCAAAATAATTTTTCCTAAAATAATTTTTGCACTTTTTTAACAAGTTTGTTTAAATGTTTACACCGCCAAGATTTAAAAATGAAATTTGCACTAAATCACACAAAATAGACAGCAAGAACTGTGTCAGTAAATCGAAATTTTAAAAACTACCATATGAACAAAAAAAAGTCATCTAGCAGGCCACGAAATTTATTTTTAAAATAATGATATATCTCAGTTATTTATCAGAAAAAAAGAAAACTCGTTGACGACCATATACGAAAATCAACTCGAACCACACAACTCAGTTTTTTTTCGGATATCAGATTCTATTAGTTTCCACTACCACTCAGAATATAATTTGGTTTTTTATGTAATGTAAATGAAAGATCTATCTTATACTGACCAGAAATAAAATTTGTTGTTAGAATGAGAAGAGCGCAAGTAGGCGGAGCTAGAACTTGCTAAGATAAGACTGATGTTGGCAAATCACATATCCTCAAAAAACAGAGGGCGGGTGGGCGGGGCTATCATTTGCTATGATAAAGCTGATTTTGGCAAATAACATGGTTCCTAAGAAAATAAAGGCTGGGTGGGCGGGGCTGACGCTTACTAAGATAAGACGGAACAACAGTGAAAGAATAGTCACTAGAATTAAGAGGGGGTGGGCGGGCGGGGCTACTGCGTATTTATAAGACACTGTAGAAAAAAGCTAAAGTTAGCTCCGCCCATTTCCTTTTTCCATTTCACTGACTTATTTTATCTATTGTAAAATGAGAATTTAATTATTTTTGTACGAGGTATCTCAGTAATTCTTTGAGGACCATATACTAAAATTATTTTCAACTATACAGAGTGTTTTGTTTTTAATACGAACCACACAACTTAGTTTTTTCAAATGAAATATACAGAATATATTTTTATACATTCTGAAATAAGAAATAAATCTTATAGCAAATGGTATAACAAAGAAAGCTATGATTATTTTTTTTCCGGATTTTAAATTCTTTAGTTTCCGCTACCACTCAGAATGTAATTAGCCCCGCCCACCCACCCGGCCTCCATTTCCGGGATTGGTTTTATGCAATCTAACTGAAAGATGTATCTTATGCTGAATAGAAATAAAATTAGTTGTTAGAGTGAGAAGAGCGCGAGTAGGCGGGGCTAGAACTTGCTAAGATAAGATTGATTTTGGCACAAGACATATCCTCTAAAAAAAAGACAGGGAGGGTGGGCGGGGCTAGCATGTGCTATGATAAAACTGATTTTAGCAAATCTCATAGCTTCTAAAAAAATAAAGGGCGGGTGGGCGGGACTAGTACTTGCTAAGATAAGACGGAACAACATTAAAGGAGTACTTAGTCACTAGAATTAAGAGGCGGTGGGTGGGCGGGGCTACTGCTTGCTTATAAGACTGTGGAAAAAAGTGAAAGTCAGCTCCGCCCACTTCTTTTCACCATTTCACTGACTTATTTTGTGTACTGGACAATGAGAACTGATTTATATTTTGAGAAGAGGTATCTCAATAATTATCAGAAAGAGAAAAAAGAATTCTTTGAGGACCATGTACTAAAATTATTTTCAACTATACAGAGTGTTCTGTTTTGAAGGCGAACCACTCATTTGTTTTTTTTTGGATCTCAGATTCTATTAGTTTCCACTACAACTCAGAGTGTAATTTGAAAATATGACTCCTTGTGATTTATCATTTCATTCATATTTTTAGATTTGCATATACAGGGTGACTCAAAAAAATTAATGAATGTGTGAATTTATTTTATTGCTTTAATCAGGAATTAATCGAATGCTTTGAAATCTTGGACATGTTTTAAAATTATCATAGGCAAGGTAAATGTTTAGTCAAAATGTATTTGCTAATCCCCCCCCCTAAAAAATTGATGACGTCACCTCAAAATTTTGCTTAATAGATTCTACCTTAAAAGTGCAAAATATCATGAGTCTGTAGTTGTGATTTATCATTCCATTCATATTTTTTGGATTTGCATATACAGGGTGACTCAAAAAAATTCATGAAAGTGTGAATTTATTTTATTGATTTAATCAGGAACTACAAAACCGAATGCTTTGAAATCTTGGAGATGTTTCAAATTTATCATAAGCATGGTAAAATTTTGATTGAAATGTAGTTGCTTATCCCTCTAAAAATTTGATGACGCCACCGCAAAATTTTGCTGAAAAAATGCTTAAATGTGTAAAGAGTGATGAGTCTATAGTTGTGTTTTATCACTGCATTAATATTTTTTAGATTTGCTTATACAGTGTGTCTGAAAAAAATTAATGACTGAGTCAATTAATTTTATTGATTAAATCAAGAATTACAAAAATGTAATACAAAAAAGACATGATAGGCTTGCAGTCGTCACGTTTCCGACAGCGAGGGAAGTACTGTCTAAACTCTTTAGCCATTTTTTTAGATTTGAATGAATAGATTAATTTATTTTATTTTATTGATTAAATCAAGAACGGCAATGGTTCACTCGACTTGCAAATTTCATGTTTTTTCAATGTTTCATAATCCCCAGAGTACAAAAAAATAGGTCCCCGTTTCCGTTTGTCTGTCTGCCTGCTTGCTGTTTGTCCGGATTTTTATTAGATAGATAATCTCCAAAACTACCGGACCGATTATTCTCAAATTTTATATGTATTTTAGGAACATCCTGTAGAGGGTAAAACGTTAACCAAAATTTCGGTAATCATCCCCACTATTAACGGGATGACGTCATCTCCAGAATTTACAATATGATCTTTTTATTTTATAAAACAAGAAACTCCTGGTTGTTACCTTAGATATTTAAATTTTCATTTTTTGCTATTTATCATATCACCTCATGGAGATATAACTTTTTTGAAATATGACAAGATAAAAAACTAAAAAACGCAGTTTTAAAACTGAAAATTCAAGAAATAAGGCGGCCTACTACGAAATTTTTATATTTAAAAATTGAGTTTTAACACGAATAGGTGAATTACAAAAATTTGCTGATAAATTGTGTAAGATTCATGTATCAACTCTTCAGAAATCGGTATAATTTTAATAAAAATTATGCATTGCTTATCGGTTTTCATCCAGTGGGTGTCGATGCGGTTGAATTTAAATTTATGTTATCACAGTCTAGGGACCCCAACTTAGGGATTTAATTTTTCGTTTTTCACCGGCAAATTCCCTCAAGGTCACGTTCTGAACCATTGTGAAGTGTGATCGTTCGTGGATTTCTTGGGTTAAATTTTTACTCAGAAAATTAACAATTAAAACTTCATTCACATCGTTATTCGTGGGAAAAAATTAGTTTTGTGTGAGTTAAACAACCGATCTTTGCGTTATTTACATCACGCTGTCTTTTGTCGTAAAAATGTTAAAAAGTTCTTTGCAAGGGTATCCGTTTTGGCGGTTTTTTTTTGCTGCATGTGCAATTTATTATCAGATATAGGAATTGCAGTTAACGTTTCGTTTCCTGTTGTAGTTGTCCAAGTTCGGCTTTGAAGTTCCCAATGTGTGACGACGACGACTGGGATGTACCTAACAATTCGACTACAACTGCAGTAAGATTATGTGATGGAATATTTAAGCGTATTTTTCTTTGTGTGAATTGTAGGGGCCAAAAGTCGGGGTGATATCCGAAGGAGGTTGCAAATTTTCGGCTGGGAGAGGTTTTGTGCCAGCCGACCGAGGTGACAGGTTTGGAGGGGGCGATTCATGGGGTGATAACAATGATAATGGTAAGTTTATAATTGTTGAAACATATGAATTAAGAATGAGGGCAAATTTAATAACGTTCTATATTTCCATAAGTGATGCCTTCGTGTGAGTGTAATAATCTTAGAATTATGAAATTATAAAACATTCGATATAATTTTTCATCCATCCAACCAAATGTCATGGTCTGCAAGTATGTGTGAAATATGTTCTCCAAATTTGGAATCAATACAATCACATACAATTCTTCACATCTGACTGTTAAAAAAATAAAATTGAATCTGATTTGAATGCATCAGTTCTTAACATAACCTCTACAACATGTGAGATAATGTGATTGTATATACATCAGAATATTTCTAGAGTATATGTATTTTCTCATCACCAGAAAACGTTTTAATACCTAACAGAGAATTTTCAAGACTGCCAGGTTGTCACAAGTTCCTGGACTAGGAGTATCAATGTATCATTTTTCACCTTTACTAACAGTAATGAACTTGAGATATCCTGCCAAAGATGAGATTTTTTATGTATATTTTTTTAATTATGCACAACAGAAAATCTTTATATTTCATACAATTCTACAACAAAATTATTGGCAGTAGTTTTCCGCCGCCTCTATCAATTGGCTCTCTTTCCAATCAAATTAACAATGCATGAAAGTAAGTTTTTGCAAGTTCATAATTTTATGAGTTAGGAATGGAAGACTTATTTTGTTGGTCACGTTTTTCTGCAATTTGGTGTACTTGACCTGTTCCATTTCCGCCCTTTTTATTTATGTCTTATTTAATACAATGGCACACTACCTGGTTACCAGCAAGTCTGGTTGCCATATGGATGAAAGTTTGTCCGTTTCAAAGCGTTCCTTCCAGAACTTACCCTTCATGTTAAGCACTGACTTATTAGGTATCATAAAACAACCATCCCAGGCCCTTAGAGTAGACATAATTTATGGGTCCGACCAGTTGAACGGGACAGTCTTTTCTCGAATGCCGACTTCCGAATTTCCAATTTTAGCACAAAATAGTTGTTGCAATTACCAATGGCATAATAATTTCAGTAAAGTCATCAGTGTTAATATCAAAAATCAACATAAATAATAAGACAAACAGTCCAGAGACAATGGGAGCAATTAAAATTATCGTAATCATAGTAAATTATTATCATCAAAATATTCGTTTGTCGTTATGTATGAGTTTATATTGCTACCTGTTAATCTCTCAAAAAAATTAATGAATGAGTCAATTTATTTTATTGATTAAATCGGAAATAGTTCACTCCCTTTTCCCGAAAATTTGGAGATATAGCACTGTTGTTACTAGTATTACATTGCACTAACCCAATTTGATAGACACAAAATTTGTAAAGTAAAAACTCGTTTGAAACATAGGCGTAGCACGCTTATTTACATTTACTTTAACGTTACAGACGTGCATTTGTTTTGTTGCGCTGACTAGGTTCCGTGAATGTGGTGTAGACAAGTTATAATCAACCAATTGTGAATTACACCATCGAAAATTAAAATAAAATCCAATGTTTTATATAATAAGTGGAAGTCGAAACAAAAAAAAAATTTGGGGCGACCATCGGTATTTTTTTGAATTTTTAAATTTTGGGTTTTTCACTTTTTTGTTTCGATTTTTTTGCCTTTTCATTTTTAGAATGTCCCGTTTTCCAATTTTTCGGAATTATTAATTTTTCAGTTTTTCGATGTTTCGTTTTTTCATTTTTGCGGTTCATTGGTTTTTTAAGTTTAAATTTTTCTATTTTGAATTTTCCCATTTTTCGATTTTTAGCCACTCTTTTCTCAATTTTTCGATTTTCGACTTCTCGACTTTTCGATCTTTTGATGTTTCGATTTCGCGATTTTCAATTTTTTGATTTTTCAATTCGCTGGTTTTGATTTCTCGATTTTGTAAATTTTCAATTTTTCGAATTTTTAAATTTTAGATTTTTCACTTCTTGTATCGATTTCTCAGTCTTTCGATTTTTTGCCTTCTCATTTTTAGATTTTTCGATTTTTCGGAATTATTTTTACTTCCGGACGTAAGCAAAGGAAGTATTGTAATCGAGTCCGTTGGCCGACTCTCTACTTTTACGTTTTCTCGATCTTTCATAACCCCTAGAAGACGAAGAAATAGGTCTCCCATTTCCGTCTGTCTGTTCGTCTACTACGAAGAACTAACCCGTTTCGACCACTGGACTTTACAACGAATAAGTGAACAAAGTTCTTGAACATCTTAACGATTTAATACATAATGTTCCCGAATGACAAAATTTACATTGCAAATTGTATTATCAAATTACACTCTCCAAAATTTGTCACGAACAATGAAATGACGCAATCTCCAAATTTTACAATAGTAAAATTGTAGTTTCGCCCCGTTTACGGTTTATGCATCCGTGTCGAGTTTTACCTTAGACGTCAAGATTTTTGGAAAAAAAAATCAACATTTTCCAATTTATAATGTTATGTATTTAAATTTTAAAAAGTAGAATAGTCCTGATCTTGTGATTTATACCTAAATACGCTATTGGGATTTTTCGGCTTGTCGATTTCTCGATTTTTCAACTTTAAATGTCTCAATTTGTCAATATTTCAATTTTGGGCTTTTTCGATTTCTCAATCTTACGATGTTTCAATGATACGATTTCTCAATTTTTGTCCTCTTCAATTTTACGGTTTTTAAATATTTCGATTTTTCAATTTTTCAAATTTTCACGTTTCTAAATTTTCAGTTTGCCGATTTCTAAAGTATTTTTTTTATTTGTCCATTTCTGGATTTACTAAAGTTTCGATTTTCCACATCTTCAATTCCTCAATTTTTCGATTTTTTAAGATTACGATTTTTCAATTTTGCTTTTTTAGATTTTCGATTTCTCAATTTTCAAATTTTTTAATTTCTCAATTTTTTGAATATTTCTTTCAGTTATGAGATTTTTCAATATTTCAATTTTTCGACTTTTCGATTTTTGAATTGATGGATTTTTTTTGATTTCTCGCTTTTATCCTTTTTGGATTTTCAATTTGGAACTGTTTAATCCTTCGATTTCTCAATTTTTAAACTTTTCGATGTTTTAATATTTCATTTTTTAAAATTCTAGGTTTTTCGATATCTCGAGTTTTCAGTTCTTCTATATTTCAATTTTTCGATTTTTTGAATTTTAATTTTTGATTTTCCAGTTTTTCTTTTTTAAAATTTTTCGATTATTCAATTTTTTAATTTCTCAATTTATCGAATTCAGATGTTTCGTTGTTTTGATTGTTCAATTTCTCAATTTTTCAATTTTTAACTTTCCTTTTCGGCTTCCGACTCCTCAATTTCTCGATCCTTCGATTTTTCGATTTCTCGAAGTCTCAGTTTTTGAATTTTCCGATGTTTCGATTTTTCGATTTTTTTCTTTTGAGCTTTTCAATTTCTGGATTTTCCAATTTTTCAATGCTCCGATTTTTCAATTTTTCAAATTGAATTGGATCTCTCGATTCTTCAATTTTGCGATATTTTAATTATTCATTGTTTTAAATTTTAGTTTTTTCGATTTCTCGATTTTTTGACTTTTCAGTTCTTCAGTATTTAAATTTTTGAATTTTTCAAATTTTTGCGTTAAATTTTCAGTTTTCTGATTTCTCAATTAATCTATTTTTGATTTTCCCACTTCTCAAAGTTTCGATTTTTCAGTTCTTCAATTCTTCGATTTTTCGACTTCGCTTTATTGGTTTGTCGATTTCTCAATTTTTGGATATTTCTTTTAGTTTTGATATTTTTCAATACTTCGATTTCTAGATTTTTCTATTTTTGCGACCTTCACGTTACAAGTAGTAGACGCTATCCATCATGCTATAGGGTAAGGTTCTCTTGCCGATTATATTAGTACAAAAGCTTACAATTTGGATTTTTTTCGAACATTTAGAGAATGTTATTTTATCAAATTTAAATGACGTTAAAAAAATGAGAGGACGTCATCAGTTTGTTCTTCAGATTACAATCAAACCAATGTTTTTAACAATAATTTCTTTCTGGTAATCCCCATCATCTTTTTTCTCCATGTTGTAGAAGCAGCAAAGATTTTGTTTACGGTGTAAGGAATATTTTATTAAAGTAAAATTAACTAAGCAGAAGTTCTGAAACTGACGCCTGAGGCAAACAAGATTTCTTTGCGTAATTTGTCGGAAACTTTTTCGAATCTATAATGGTCGATTTTAAATTTACTTATTGTTTCAAATTGATCGATATTCTTTACGACAGCACAAAATGAATTATTGAAGCTAAAGCAATATATTTTTTATTTCTATTGAAATTGGTGACTATATTAACTGCTTACAATTAAATTTTAGCGCACTCAATTCAAAAAATTATTTTTAAAAAATCCGACAGTAACACGTCCCGTAAATTTTACGTATGTTACTGTTCTCTTAAAAAATTTTCTTGCAGCTGAAGTCATATTTGCATTGTACAAATTATGTCCTAATCTTTTAATTTCCCCTTAAATCGTCCTAATTTTTGAGGGACCAAGTATTCTCGAAGCCTTCTTCAAAAAGTTAATAGTCTTTTTGAAAAAATTTTTGTCCAACACGTAAGCACTCCCTAAATCTAATACTGCATTTGACGGTAAATGAATCTTCATAGCATGTGAACTCCTTGCTATAGTCACTACACATTTTGTCACGTGTAAAGAGTTTTGAACTTCACAAAATAGAATAAAATTTTGTACTTGTATTAGGAATATCATGTAGATGGTAAACCGCTAACCAAAATTTGTCTAATCAAAATGTCAATCATTTTGCAATTTAATTTTGAATCTGCTAACCCGAATGTTTTTAAATGTTGCAGATGTTTTAAGGTTATAAAGAGCAGTTTGCCTAATAAATCCTATCTAAAATGTACAAAATATGATGACTCTGTACTTATGATTTATGATTCCATTCATATTTTTTGGTTTTGCATATACAGGGTGACTCAAAAAAATTAATGAATGCGTGAATCTATTTTATTGATTTAATCAGGAACTACAAAACCGAATG